TTTCAAAATTTAAACTCCAACACTCAAATATATGGGATGAGATTACCTTTAGCATGCATTGAAACTAGGAAAAGATATTAGATCAATCATCTGAGCCAAATATTTATTATATTTTATAGCATATGTAGAGTTTTATAAAACAAGATCTTCAGATGCTATAATATTTGTTATTTTTTAAAGGCAAACTATGTATAAGGAAAAGGCTGGATGGATCTATTGAATGAATGACATATTCTGACAGCCCAAAATGAGTGAATATGTAACAAAAGCTTTCATAAAGTGATTTCTTAAATGCACTGAGAAACTCTGTAGATTGCAGCAGTGCATCTGGGCACATGTCAGAACCACAGGTGTGCAAAAACATAGCAGCACCTGTCCTCAGAAATATATTCTTTGTAGTCTTCACTGTGCAAACTTTGCTGAAAAATATAAACAATGTTTTAGAAATGATAAAACATTATGCTTATTCTCATGTTGAAAAAAAATACACATACTCAGAAATTTTCCTGATTTCAAATTTTGTCTATTCTTGAATTTAATATTCCTATGATTGGCCAAAAAGTTATAACATTATAAGCTTCATAAAACACATTTCTTGAGAAGATTCTATACATGTATAGTACTTATCACAGTGCCTAACTTGATTAGAGTTGCTTTTGTTCCTTTTAACTTTCTGTGCAAATAAAGAAGATAATTCTGGATGAAAAATAGAAAAAGAGTTCAAGTAAAGGTACCAGATAACTGAAATTTTGGATGTGAACAAGATTGAAGGACAAGACTTTAGGGAAGAAACACAAAACCACATTGCAAATTCATAATGAAAATGTGTCTGCCGTCAAAGAGTATTCAACACTAAAGCTTAAAGTATTTCAGTTCTCCATCAGAACTCAGTTTTATTTTACTGTAAAGCCATTACTAATTTCTATTCCAGTGGCAAGCTAAGCAGAAAAGGCAATATCTGGGATGAAAAAGTGGTTTGCCCAGATTGCCCCAAATGTATAAAAAATTCACATGCCTGGTGGCCAAAGTGAATTCAGTCTTTTTAATTTTCATGTTAAGACTCATTGACAAGAATGATCTACTGAGAAAGATTATCTGATTCTTTTTCCAGGGTCAAAAATACAGTAGCTAGAATGTCTTGAAAATTATGGCTCCATTGTGAAGGACTTGAAATGTCTGCAATGGGAGGAGTTTCCAAATACTTTTGACATGTAAACTGAGTCACTGGGTAGGCTAAGTATGTGATATTTCAAGCCACTGCATTTACAGTTAGAGTTGAATCCTCAATTTTTAATTGGCCCAATTTGAAAGCTTTTTCTTCTTTATATCTGACCTGGGAGAGAGAAGTTTCCAAGTCTTTGACTGGAAAGTAAAAGTTCCCAGCATTTAATAAACAGCCTTTTATTTAACCCTTCCCCCCAATGCTATATTCTTTTTCTCTGAACTATTAATACATTTGAGCTGCTGGAGAGAATACATCCCATGAGAATGACATCAACCAAAAAGGAAAAGAGCAGTTATAATTGGGCAGTTATAACTTATCTATTTTAAACTACTCAACTACAGAAATAGTGCTTGAAACACCAAAATACAGAGTCCAACTGTCCTTTCCAAGTAACAGACAGCTATTCTAATTTCATGACTAATGCCCAGTGCCTGCCTTAAATTGGTTTAGACTTCATCTACTGGTACATTCCAAGTACAGTGTGTGTTTCGGAGAGCAAATCTGTCCCACTGTATCAAAGTCAGCGCATCTCTGTGAACTTGTCAGCCTTTGAAATTGCCTAATTCTTGGAGCACTTTTTCAACATGTTCATACACCACAGAAAACACAATAAGTTTACTAATCAATCATTTTAACTCATAAGCAAATGAATCCCCTAATACTCAGGATACATACAAAACAGTTTGGTACAATTCATAGCAATTACAGCAATCAATAAAGTTAAAAGGAAATAAAAAGGTCGATTTGTCAATTGTGCATATACTTTACAACTTTCAAACAAAGCTTGGCAAATCAGAAATTCTGTAATAACCACTTTGGTTTTATGAGATGAGAGTTCGATTTTCTCAAGCTGAAAGGTAAAAATAATGCCAAATTTTTACTAAATTAATTCTATAAAATACACAGAAAAGAATGCAAAAAAGATCATCATGACATCAAGGGAGAGCTGTCCAGAGAGCAATATGGTAGTGCACAACTGTAACAGGCATACAGATGCATGATATGTTCTCTTCAAAGTCGAGTACAATAAAATGAGTGGAATAGAAGAGGACTTTATATGTAGCATCAATATTGTCAACTTTTTCATAAATAAAGAGTAATTTAATGGAATGTCTGTTATAAGTTCTCAGGCTTCTCCTGGTCAAGGCAGCAACATTAAGGATCAAGTTGATAAACTAAAGCGGAATTTCTGGGTTCAGGCCCTCTTGCCTTCACCCTATAACCATGTGGCTTCAGCAAGTTATGCTCTAAACCTCAGAGTCTTCTGTAAATTGAATAACAATAATTTCTAACCCATGGTATTGTTGTGAGGATTAGACCACCACCCAGCACATAGTAAGTGCTGTATAGCCATTTGTTAGAAAATAAATAATAAATAAAATCTTTAATATCTCTACACATGTCAAATTGATAGTTTTAGAAAATTTTTGATGAAATGTAGACCACTGAGTCCTAAAGGTTTTGTTTAGTCTTATTTTCTAAAGCATAAACTACTTCATTTGTCAGTGATACTAAAGTTTTGCTACTGAATAAGTACGCAGGCTAAGAAAAAAATTACATGAATTTGATAGTCAAATTTTAAAATATTCAGTAAGATGAAAAACCCAGTTGCCACAAGCAAGTAATCAAGAAAAGATAAAACATTTATCACATTATTTAAACCAACATGATATATATATTTTTTTTTATTTTAAAGAGGGTGAAACAAAGCAGATCAGAAGAAAACAATGTACAGTATTTCAAAGCAAGACAACAGGAGATAAACAGTGGCTACCATCCTGTTTCTAGTTTTCTTCTAAATAGTTGTCTATATATTCACATACAACGAATTCATACAAAACAAAATAGTATAAAACTGATCAAAACAGAATAATGAAGGCATTACAGACCTTTAACCAGACAATAGGAAAATCAGCAATGGTTACCATAATGTCTCTTGTTCTCATCAAAATAGCTGTCCATACCTTCATGTATGCTGAAATTAAATAATACAAAACAGACTAAAACCACTCTGAACAAAAAATAAAAGCATTATTGTATTTCATAGTATAATGATAGAAATTAGTAATGGGTGCCATAATGTCTCTTTTTCTTCAAAGTATTGTTCATATCATCACACATAATATAATCGATTTTCATAAACTGTTTAGGAAAAGTTCTAGGCATGTATAAGTCTCTACATGTACAGCTATCCTTTCTGCATGAGAGGGAAAAACATAGCAAAACAAAACAAATTACTAGAAAAACAAGAAAAGACAAATAACATAGCAAAGAGCTCAAAATAATGACATTAGGCCTTCAAAACAAGGTGGTAGGAATGTAACTAAGGTTGTAATTTTACATAGTGATCTTCAAGAGAGTTCCTCCGATCAACAGACACGAACATGCAAATTGATCCAGTCCTATGAATGTTAACTGTCTTGTTCCAAGAACTAATAGAATTTGTAGCCCAATCATCTTAGTTATCTTAAGTGTGTTTATACAAATTTATATATTTTTTCTTTTAACATGATATAAATTTTGGGGAATGCAAAGGTGATCCTGACTATAGACATCATTTAAATACAGTGATCCAAAGATCATTAGGCAAGCTTATTTGAAAAAACTGTAAGACTCAACTTGGTACAGAGCATTAACAGTGATATTAAAACCAGTTTATTTTGATTTTAAACAACAAGTATTTATCACAAAAAATGCCCTTAAACAACTAACACCAATCCTTTATACAGAGAAAATTTTTGAAATGCAGACAGAAGCTTTGAATAGTAACTTCTCATGATGAGTAATGACACACTGGAGCATTTGTCTTTTGACCCTATTACTGTTTGTTTCTCAGCAACATGTATTATAGGATAAAACTTCTTAAAATGCTAATGTGTAGAGTTAATACTTAATGCTGATATTTTGTCTCTTACATGTTCCTTTCTCCAAAAATCACAATAAAGTGTAACGACTAGCTCTTTAACTGTGCCAAAGTGCAAAGTAATTTATCTTTGCCCAAAAAATGAATGAATACAGATCAATTAGGCTCATTCTTCACTTTGGTCTTTCTCCCTGTAAAACAATGATAACCCTGCAGAAAACACTGGTGTTAGTCCTCTCCCAAAGGAAAAAAATGTACATTCGTTAGATCAAAGGGGAAAAAGTACATCTGTTCAGACAGAGAGGAAAAATAGAAGTTAACTCTACTTGAACTATGAACATGACTGAAAATCCAACACCTACTAATCCAACATTTAGGAAACAGCTCTTACCATTATGTCAGTTTTGGAAACAGACTTAAAACCCTCACCAGATATCTCCCAAATTAGATTGCTCATTTCTCCCCATATTAACCTTCACATGGTTCACTTTAGGAGCCCAAGGAGCTAAATAGTCCAGTTCCAGCCCCGTTGCCACCACCCCATCCAACTTTTAACATTAAATCAGAGTTCCTGATTAAAATGATCAGGCTTTGCAGAATTTATGTGACATTGGATGAAATAACTCCTTAATTTGTTAAGAGGGTAGATATATGTTAGGCACTCTAGCACAATAAAATAAGATCTTAAATAATCATCTCTACTATTTGTACTTTTAAGATCTAAAAATGCTTTCTTTGAGCAAGTCTCTGAAGTGTAGAGTGTGGTATTACAATTCCCATGAAAGACTTCACTTTCATCCAACCAGTCAATGATTAGTACTTGTCAATGAAAACGTGCTTGAAAAATAATCAAGGAAATCAAACTGAAGATTTTATCTCTGCTTTTCTTCTTCTGCCACTCTGGACCTGCAGGAAAACGGGCAGAGAAAATATGGTGGCCCTCCACCTGGTTGGGAGGCTGCACCACCAGAGAGAGGCTGTGAAATTTTTATTGGAAAACTTCCCCGGGACCTTTTTGAAGATGAACTTATACCATTATGTGAAAAAGTGAGTCTAAACTTCATATTTAACTTTTCTTACCTTTCAAAAGAAAACTATTGTACTGTTCACTTTGCTTTCACTCTTGTTCATCTCAGTCTGGGTTGGCTTCTCTTCCCAGTTGCCAAAGTTAAAATGTTCCCAGCCCTGAGTGACTGACTGCCTTTTGATTGCCTTAACTCAGCTCTTTGTCCTGTTCACCAATGAATTAACATCGCTAATGACTCTCAGATTATCTTGTTCTCCAATCATTTTTCCTTGAGTGGCCATCTCATTGTAAATTCATTGTGTCTGTCAATCTACAGTCATGCTACAACAGTTTGTCTAAATAAGATACTGCCCCAACTTGACACTTTAGTGTGGTTTTTTAAGTGCAGCATTTCCATATAAAAAGAATGTGTGTGCTCATCATGGTTCAAACGCATTCCTACACATAGTGACTCACAATAAAATTTCTCTCACAAATTCAAATTTCTTTTCTGCCCTAATGTAACAATAAGATTAAAAATATGGCTTCTTAATATCATATATAGTTATCAAAAATACATTTCCTTAGTTTTAATTCCAAAAGATATTTTACTACTAAGTTCAAAAATATGTATTATTATATGATTTACCAAGTGGTTATTAGCAGCATGCATGTAGCAGAAAATTTAATAAATATGAGAACTTAGCTCTTCTCCTAAATTCCAAAATCAGTTTTTAGTATGCATATGTACGTATGTATAACTCAGTCCCAGATTCAGAACTGTATTTAATTTTATATCTATAATCCCATTTAGCATGTAGCAAAACTATAATCCTTTAAGAATTTTGTATTCTTAACCTTAAGTATCAAGAGACCCTGGAAGCATGTTCAAACTCTTTCCCAATAAGTCCAGAAGAAATAGGTATCCATCACTGAAAACTTCAGAGTACGTGGTAGAGAGGCAGTCAACCACCAAGGTACTTAATGACATTTCTGCCCACGCATACCTACTGTTTCTGTTTACCCTACCTTTTTATAACAGCCCATGATAATGAACTGGTGAATCTGGATTGCTAGAGGACAGCCGAGGTACAGGAGGGAACGCACAGAGGAGCTATAGCCAGGGGGTAGAGTGGATTTTCTTCTGTTATGAAAGTCCTGGCTGTGCACCAGTTGAATTGGGATATTCAGGTATTAACCTTCATCCTGTAAATTGAGAAAGTAAGTGTTCCTCAGACCATTCTCTGAAACAGTTGTTCAGTTTGACAAGACGTTAGTTTAGCAGGCTTCCTAATGAGTCTTCATGGCTTTTATTTTAAGCATCAGTGATAGAGTATGACCAAGTAAAGGTCAAATTGTGAGGACCTGAAAAGCCAGCTTGGAAGGCATGGTTGACAATTCTATCAAGAAATCATACTTCTGATGACAAATGTGTTTTCAGGGCCCCAAGCAATTCCATAAATCTCCAGATAATTGTGTGACAAAAGGTCATTTGCTCTGTCAACAACATTCTATTAACTCATATTGAAATGGCACTTTTATATATTTTCTTTATTTAACTTGACTTTTCTATCAGTTAGATAATTGATCTGAATCCACCATTAAAAAAATATGGAGGCTGTTCCACATAAAATGCAAATGTCAAACACTGGCAGGAGGCATAATTCAGAAAACGTGTGTGTGTGTGTGTGTACATTCATTTGGAAAGACATATAAATATGAACTTTCTGTTGGTATTTCTTACAGATTGGTAAAATTTATGAAATGAGGATGATGATGGATTTTAATGGCAACAACAGAGGATATGCATTTGTAACTTTCTCAAATAAACTGGAAGCCAAGAATGCAATCAAGCAACTTAATAATTATGAAATCAGGTAAAGGCTTCATCTTCTACATTAAAATTGAATCAAAAGATGTACTTGTTATCTTTTTGTCAAGCTTATCATATATGATTTATATTGAAGATAGCCAAACGGAAATGTTAAATATTTTCCTTAATGGAAATAAGTCTAGTAGAATATTTGTCTAATACCAGTACTACATGAGATGCCAGACTAAGTTTTAAGAAATGTTCAAAGAAACAAATTTCATTAATTTCTCCATTTCGCAAATACATGCTGGACACTGTTTAAAATGCTAAAAAAAATACACCAAGGTACATATCTTCATAGTAAACAAACAAATATATAAGATACTTAAAATAGTACGAAAAAATAAAACCAGAGAAGGCATAAAATTGTGTGAGGTGGCTTTAATTTGATGTACTTAAGAAAATACTCATCTGGAAAAGTGAAATTTGATCTGAGACATAAATGAAGAGTTGATAGAAAACAGGGACTTAGATCTTTTGCCAATGGGAAGGGAGCCAAATTAGAAGGAATGCAGAGAGAGCAGAAGGAGATAGTAAAAGAATACAGATGTGCTATGTACACGCACCAACTGCCCATGATGAATGTAAGCTTTCTGTACCACAAACATGTGCTAATAAAAAGTTCTTTCCTAAAACAAAGAAGTCAGCTATGACAGGCCTACAGTAAGATTATTTAAAAAAAAAAAAAAAGAACAAGTAAGGGCAGAAAGAAAGTCCTTGCAGGAAGAACAGAGCGGAGCAAGGAAGACAAATAGCTGAACGGCCTCGCACTCCATGATAAAGAACTTGAGTTTTCTTCTAATGAAAACAGAGGTCATAACAGGGTTCTAATTAGGAGGAGGGTTTTAAAAATGTTACCCTCCATATTGGATGGAGAACAGAGTACAGTTGGGCAGGGACTCTAAGAGGGAAGTCATGTAGAAAGTTGTTGCATAGTCTAGATAGAGACAAGAGTTGACGTACAAAGACAAATGTTCATTGGTGGAGGTGACACCAGGGTGTGACCTGGGACACACTGTGCAGACTGGGGACACAAGACTGCTAAATAATGAATTTAAAGTGCAAAAGAGAACCAGGCATGGTAGCCCATGCCTACAATCCCAGCACTCAGGAGGCTGAGGCAGAAGGATCACTATGAATCTGAGGTCAGGCTGGGCTATATAGTGAGCTCAAAGCCAGTCCAAACTGTATAGTGTGACCCTGTCTCTAAGTAAATAAATACAATAAAAAATAAATAAAACGCAGTGTGAGAGAATTCAGAATCTAAGGAGGAAACCTAGGACATGGGTTCAAGTGTCTGTGTGGTAGTGCCATTAAGATGGACTGAGTAACAGTAATAAACACAGGAAGAGCTCTGTTTGGGCATTTCACCCAACAGACCTCCCAGGAGACATGTGAGCTGTGACAGTGCAGTCAGGAGAGAGGCCGTGGTTGGAACAGGAAAACAGTCAACGCTGTAGAGCATGGGCCTCCAAGAGGTTTCCAGGACATACAGCAACCCATAACCTGTTTTCATGAAATGGGAAAAAAAGGCTAAGTTCATAAAACTGAGTTCTAGAATTTCACTTAGGAAAACTGCTATAAAGCTTTCCTTAAAGGGAGCCTAGGGGCCTGCAGGAGGAAGATTAGTGCAACCGTAAAGAGCAAAGCAAAGCAATTGATAATGCAGTTGGGGTCAACCACGCTTCACTTGGGTGCCTGGAAGTAACAACCTCTTTGTGCCTCAATTTCCTCATCTGTATAATGGGGATTGTAAGCCAGTTCACAGGTTTATTGTGCAGATAACTGTACAATTTTTTTAAATGCTTAACCTAGTATTTGGGATACAGTAACAAATCTATAGATGATAAAAATAGCATAGTTCTAAGGTAAAGTTTTTCTCATCTATTCCTTTCATACATACAAATAAACTCTAAACTTGATGAATGCAAGAGCAGATTTCTCACCAATAATTTTCTCCCACACCTATAGGCATATGTTGTCTTCATAGTTCTATAAATGAATCAAATACTGTATCATTTCTTAAAATTCTATAGTCACAGGAAGATGAATCAGATTTGGCACCTGGCCTAATGACTACAGTACTGACCTGGCCAGGCAGTCTCCAAGCTGACTCTGGATCAGAATCTTAAAATAAACTCAGGACCCACTCCCACACGTGCCTCCATGACCCTATGTGTGGTGTGTGGAAGACTGTTTGGAGTATGAATAAGAAACCTAAACCCTGCCTCGGGTTCCCTCGGATAAATCCTTTGGCTTCTGTGAATATTACTTTTACCAACAGCACCTGATCACACAGAGATGTTCTAGGCATCCACCCAATGAAATGGTATACACTAAAGTGCTTTAGAAAAAGCTACACGCAATTGTATTTTAATACAGTTTTTTAAATATTATAGACACATGATTTCAGAATTGGAAAATTCACTATAAAACCCAGACATTCTAAGAGGAAAAATTATTCCTAAAATAACTTTTGAATTGAGATGAATGTGTAATTCATTATAGGCACCCAACAGAGTCTGTTCTATCTCTTCACTATATTATTACCACTGGGGCTTGTCAACACTTTTGAAAAAATGAGTATGATCAATCTGCCAGGGTCACTGATAATTAACAGCACCCTCTGTAAAATTCACTGTATTGCCTGTGAAATAGGTCTAAAGATATGCCTTCCTCATGGAATGTTCTGAAAATAAATGAGATGATACACATAAATCTCAGCACCTCACATATATTACACTGACACACCTGTTACAACACTGCCAAGAACTGTGAGCTTAGACAAGGAAGAAGAAGACAGGGAATATGACAAAGAATTTGGAAAAAGAAAGTCAGTGGCCAAGACTACAGTCAAAGATCTGATTGGATGAGAGAAGCAAGGTAAAGTCACAGAGATTCTTTACAAATTAGTGGGAGGATAAATGGAATATGAATAGCACAAGACAGTCACCAGAGGCAGCTTTGTAACTTCCTCCCTGCCTTGGGGCATCCTGCCAGAAAGGAACGCTCTCTTGCTATGAGGACAATAACCTTCCATTTGCTTTAAGCCACCATCTCTCAGGGGATAGATATGGTTCTTATCCAGACACAAGCCACAACTGTCATATCATCCTCCTCATCAAATATTCACCAAGCAACATTTAAGTGCCTGGCTTGTAGAGACATTAAAGCCAAGCCCTCAGTTTTGAGAGATGACTTTTTGTCTCTGAGTAATTCTGGGAAAGCATCCCAGCAAACCACATAAATTTAAAAATAGGAAGCAGAAATTCTGGGTTCCTCCTGGTAACTGATATGAGGCCAGTCTCTCAACAGAAAATTAATTATGATGATGATGATAATTTCTAAGTAAACGTCTTACAGGATAAGTTTTTTTTTTTCTTTTAAAGTTTAAATCTGGAAGACTACTTTATTAACCATTCCACCCCCAAACAGCCACTTTCCTTGAGCAATGCTTGCCAGACTGAGCTGGATTTGTCGTGGTTCTGACACATGGTCTTCATTTTCAGAAAAGTATAAAAGATAACAGAATAGTGGCTCAACCAAGGCCAGAGTGCCTGTCACGCACCCTAGAGCCACTAGTGCCTAAAAGTCAGACAAGTCTCCCACGTACATAGCTGAGAGATTTCATCCATGACACATGAGTATTTTCTAGTGAGAAAACCTTTCCTATTTTTAATAACTTTATTACAAAATCCATATGGCCTACTATGCAGCACATGAAAACTTCAAGAAGCACAAAGTAATAAAACTTAAAATTATTTTCTCATAACCCTAATCTCCAAATGGCTATGTTGATATTTCATTATCTTTCTAAATTTTCTACAGACTTTTAAAATCAAAATGGTCTCATATCTTTTCACATTTTTTAAAAAAGAATCTGCTCATTATGAACTGGATTTTTAAAACCAGTATATATCTTTATACATTATTTTTAATGACTTCTGAACATTCTGTGATATAAGTGTTCATTTGTGTTGCCCACGATTGTCAGACAGGAGCAGTACTGTCCATGCTAAGGAACACTTAGAAACTTGAGGCATTTTTGGATGACCTGAGAGATGGTTATTAGCATTTGGTGGGCAAGAACCAGGGGTAATAAACATTCTGTGGAACACACCATAAGGAAATAGTCCAGTCACACCGTCAGCAACATCTCACTGGTGACACCTTAAACAAATTCCTTATTGTAAGGTATTGCTTGTTTTCAATTTGCTGGCTACTTTAATAGCAATGAATATTTTTATCCATAAAACTCTGTACTCTTATCTATTTACTGGGCCTATCCCAGAAGAGGCACTATTTGGTCAAAGGTTATGAATATTTAACATTTTTGAGACATTTTGCCAAATGTAATCTAGAGTAGTTTAGCGTATCTGTCCTCTGCCAACGAAGGCAAGCATGATTCGCCTCTCTAACAAGCAGTTTTGCGCTATGGTAGAAACAGGGACTGATGTCCCAGAGGTTAGTTTCATCCTTTAGAATCTATAAAACCATAAGTAAACCACTGAATTTCTTGGAATCTCAAGTTCTGTATCTGTAAAATTACACTTATTCTGCCCACTCACAGGCTCCTGTAAGGGCCATATAATATGTGAAAATCTGTGACAGTGTGAGGGGCCGTTTTTAACAGCATCCGTGTCAAAACGGCTTCTTAATTCAGCTGGAAAGCTATGAAGCACGACAGCTTGCAGGCTCAGGTATCCGCCAGGAGGATGGTGGCCAGCCATAGCGCTGTAGGCGTTGGGGTGATGGGGTGCAGTAAGGCTCGCAAGGATGGGCGGATCCACACCTAGTCTAATGAAAGTGATGCTACCCAGATTCGCATGATTTTTTTTCCTTTAAAACTGTAGAGTCCACTTTGACACATCTTCTGACCTCTCAAGAGAAGCAAACTCTCCACAAATAGTTTAAATAATGCAATGAGCAAACACCTTCCACCTGCAGGCCATCCCTGGCCCAACACCACACATGCTCAATCTCTACCTTAACCTTTAAACATAGGATGGTCACTAATCCAAATGCATGCTCTCTTTGAAGAAATGGGCGTCTCTTAGGGGTCTGTGCTAGTGTGGACAACTGCCGATTGTTTGTTGGGGGAATCCCGAAAACTAAAAAGAGAGAAGAAATCTTATCAGAGATGAAAAAGGTCACAGAAGGAGTTGTGGATGTCATCGTCTACCCAAGTGCTGCGGACAAAACCAAAAACCGGGGCTTTGCCTTCGTGGAGTATGAGAGTCACCGCGCAGCTGCCATGGCCAGGAGGAAACTGCTACCAGGTGAGCAGCCCCAGCGAAGGGCAGGCCTCTGCCCAGCTGCTGCACCCTCGAGAAGAAAGCAAGCGCGGGCTGTGCTGATTTGTGCCTTTGCATGTATGTCTAGACACATATGTGATGTCGTATGCGCTGTTATACTATATATACTATGTAGTAATCTATTATTTTATATAATAGTATCTTAAACTCGTCATATTTCTTATTTATCTCACAGCTGATTCAGTTTCACAGACTGATTTTTCACAGACTGAGGTTAGAAACATTCTTTCTGTGCTTGGGATCTAATTTACATGCACTGAAGAAATCTAGAACTTTAAGCTATAACAATACTATAATGAATCCGTAAAGCAAAGAATCTTCCAAAAATTAAACATAGTAACCACAGTTATCTTTGCAGTAGATTGTGTTATCAGGCTTATGAGAAATAGGGTATGTTATCCATGAGAGTGGAGACATAGTAAAATGCCAAGTGACATATCATTCCAATGACAGTTAAGTGATATACTTTTATTGTGACCCTCTGGTGTCCAATACATTCTGTCTAATATGAAGGCAGAAAAATAAAAGCTCTTCCAGGAAAGGCACCTTTGCCAGGTGCTTCAGTGACAGTCAGTCCCATTCAGTTGATAACTATCAATTTCTGGGTTTAAAGTGTCCACAAAGACACTGCCTCAGTCAGTTCAACTTGGGAAAAACTGTTTTAAAGTCCCGAGCTCCTTTGGGACTATATTCACTAGACCTTATACAAAATCAAGTACTAAAGTGAACTAATAAGTAAGATAATTTCAAGAAGGACAGATGAGAAAAGGCATACAGTATTGTAATCCACTTCTAGATTTATATAGTCCTTGTACACACTCTTAAAAACAAAACAAACAGGATGAACCCTCTGGAAATTTTCAAAATTGGAGGATAATTTGAGCTTAGAAAGGATAGTTAATATTTTTAAGCAGGAAATTTAAAATAAACAACATATTTACATGTATAAACTAATTCAAAGAATTCCTGTATCTACTAGGAAGATGGATATTTTCAATGTTGAAGACTTTCTTTACTATTTCTTTAATTTTCACTACCCAGTGGTCAAGTCATTGGAAGCAAATGCCCATAGGTATAGGACATCCCTAGTCTTTTGGTGACCTGGACTTCATATTTTGTTATCATCCTTAATTCTTCTATTTTTCAGCACCAACCTGGCTGCCATTAGAAAATCTTTGTGTCCATCAGTATTTCAGGTCTTCTTTGTGATCTGAACACTTGTGTTCTCCACCTTCAACTGATTTTTCAGGGTCTTTGTTGTAACCCATAACAAGGACCCAAGATGAAAAAAATGGGGCAAGACATCTTTTTTTTTTAAAAGGAAAAAAGTGCTTTTATTTAAGCTGTTACCCAGTAGCACAGTGCAGATGGAGTTTGCAAAGCTGTGCAACTGGGTTAGAATTTTGACAGATTTTTGTAGCACATTGATTGATTAGTTCATTGACCACTAAGTACATAGCAATGAGAAACAGGAACAAGGTGGGCCTTTGTTTCCCTTTGCTTGAGGTCCGAGGCGTTTCACAGTGGGTTGTTAGCCAATTCATCGCCTTGGTCTGCCAATTCCAGGAACATTTGTCTCTCACAAAGGGAACAAAGGTTGACACAGCAAACAGGTTACTTGGGGGACAAACATACAGAACAGCATACATTCATACATATATACATACAGAACAGCCTACATACATACAGAACATACAGGACATACATACAGAACAGCATACAAAACAGCATGATGATTCAGTCAGTTAATCTATATGTGGTTGGTGCTTCAATTATGTGGTTACTCGGGTAATAAGCATAGCAAAGAATGACGAAGTTCTTTTTGCTAATAACAATCTTTTTAACTTTTCATTTTGGTTTTTTAGCATTATACTACAACATTCTTCTCATTATCTTCCCAGCTCTGCTCTCTTTCACGTAGTCTCTCCCTGCCCACTCCATCCTGAATATTACCACCAAATAAATATTTTCAAAACCATCCTATCATCCTTTCAACTAGTTCTTACAAAAATAGAAATTCAGTATTTATTAATAGACTAAATCGTGTCACTAATCTGCCTGTTCAAAATATATCCACCAGCTACTTGTTCTATATAAGAAATAAATTTCCAAACCTGTTACTAAGGTTTCTTCATTTATGGCCCCTAAGATTTTCACTGCCATATTTTTTTTAATTTCTCCATAAAATCTCTCCTTTTTTCAGGACCAACCCCCCTCATCCGAGACTATACTCATTTCTCTCTCCTTTATTCCTAATGCTTTATCTTCTATTAGTCAGTCAACATCTTGAGAAGCCAGTGGGACACTAGGCCCCATCAGTAACTTTCCTCCTCCAATTCAGGTAGACAGGTATAGACAGGTATTTGTTTTGTATGAAAGAAATATGTAGTCAGGCATGTAGGCACTTATGTCTAAATCCAGTACTGGGAGGCCGAGGCAGGAGAATAACCAGTTCAAATCCTTCTTAGACTACATAATGAGACTGTGTCTTAAAAAAAAAAAAAAAAAAAAAAAAAGCAGGTATATAAAATGATTTTGTGAGGAGGCGGGGTTAAAGAGAATGATAATGCTCCTGGGTAAGTGAAAAACAGCTTTCAGGGACCAGAACTCAATGCTCTTAAACTATGGACCTTCTGAAAAATTTTTTCAAAGAAAGTCACAATTGATCCACTCAACGAGCATCTGTCTTTTCGTGTGTCTAGCTTGCTAAGGCCTGAGCAGCTGGGATTCAGAAATTCTCATCCACTTCATTATGCTTCTACCCAAAGTCCTGACCTTTCTTTATGAATTCTGTGTGCACCTCCCCCGGTCCATATTCATCACAAAGCCCCCTTATACCAGGAGCCCTGTGAGCCATCCTCACCTGGGTTTCACCATTCTGGGTGTTTGTCAAGCTGTCTCATCAGCAAACTTAACAAGATGAGGTGGGCTGGAGAATAAGTCACCCAGCGCCAACTGTTTCTTTTGTGATAAAACTTCAGAACCAAACATTACCCACTTGGGGTACTTTACCTATTCCTCCAATGTAGACTCAATAACAAAAGGATTTCAGTGATTGGCAGCCTTCTGAAAGGCTGAGTTTTAAAGAATGAGGAGATACTTAAGAAACAATGGTAAGCAAGGCCTGTAAGGTTTTTCTTCTTAAATTGATCCAGAGTTGAAGACAGAAAATTGTCACCTGAAGTGGTACAACTGCCCCCAGTCCCTTCCTCTATTAACAGTAGCAGCTCCTTCTGCGCAACTCTTGTCTTCATCAAGCTGAGTATGAGACAGGGTTGTGTCCAGCTCCAGTCTGTTAAAGCATCCTAAGGACAGTAACACTCAGCCACCAGCTGCATCACACTGACTCGGTGCGCTTGTTAAACACAGATTGCTGAGCTCCACCGCCAGGGTTCCGGCTTCAGTATTTTTGGAGTAGGGCTCAATAATTTGCTTTTATAAGTTCTCAGAATGCTACTGTTCCTACTACCACGTATTTGGACAATTCATCTAAATCAACAATTGTCCCTCCAGTGCTGCACATAAGAGTCACCTCAGAATACTTTCAAATAGTACGAGTTCCTATATCAACCCTTAATGAACCTGCTTCCCTGCAGTGTCAGCTTGGAGCAATTGTGTTTTAAATTTTCCACATGATACCATTGTGCACCCAAATTTTATAAGCCGCCGCTAAGTGTGTCAGCTAATAATGCTGGGTGTTCACCCACAGGGCCATATGTTGCAGCACCTGAGGAATCATTAAACTCAGACATTTATTAACTATACACAACATAATGCTTTCTTCTAAATGGCATGGGAGACTCTAAAATAAAACCAGACCTAACCTTTGCAGCCAGAATGCAACTGAGAAAAGTATACAAATAAGAAAATAGACAGAGATATTAAAAGAAATGTGTAACATTGAATCATCATTTAAAAGTGATAAACTGAGTCTTCTTTTGCATCTTCTGTTGCCTTTACCACAATATTGGATGAAGACATCTTTCATTTGATAATTTTATTATCAAATTTTACAAATGAAACAACTGATGCTTAGAAAGGATGTGCCTAGCCAAGATTATTGCTCCAATCATTAAACTTATCTGACTTCAAAGCTATGTCCTTAAATCACTCTTCCCCACTGACTTCCCCCGTAACCCTCCAGAGGGACATCTGCGGGAATCAACTGCTTCCTGTGCCTTCTTTCATTTCTGTTCCTTCCAGATTTATGCAGCTTTTCAGGCTTACGTGTGGCTTACAATGGTCCCAGGCTGAGAATGCAAAAGCAGAACAGTGCCATTCAATCTTAGCTGCATGGTAGAATGACAACTCGTGAGACCCAGACCATTTGAAGAGACACTGGAAAGGACAATCCAAATGTCAGTACTGAGCTGGTGAGCCTTTAAAAACTGGCCCCCAGGGGAAAAGCAAAAGCATGAATTTGTAGCATTTCCCTATGTTCGTGGCTTCCTTCATCTTACCAATGTGAGGCCCACTGGCTGAGAAGATTCTGAAATATTTTTATTCTTTTATCTGTTGATAGACACATTAATCCCATATGTTGGCTGCTGTGAATAATGCTACAATAAGCGTAGGAGTGCAGATGTCTCTGTGACATACTAATTTCATTTCCTCAGGCTGTATACCCAGGAGCAAGATTGCTGAGTCAAATGGTAGCTCTATTTTCAATGGCTGTAACAATCTACATTCCTAACAGTATACAAAGATTCTCTTTTCTCCATTCTCTTGCTGCACCTATCTACATTCTGTCTTTCTGATAATAGGCATTCTACCCAATGTGGAGAAACATCTTGTTGTAGTTTTGTTTACATTTCCTTGAAGACTAGTGAGGGATATTTTTTCATTCTGCTTTTGGTACATCTTTTGAGAAATATCTCTTTAAGCCTTTTGACCATTTTAAATGTGGTTATTTATTTTGTCACAACTCAGTTGAGTTCCTTAAGTATTTTGGATATTAGTTGCTTATTAAGTACGTGGCTTCCAATTAATTTCCCTTTCCTTCACTCCATTGTTTCCTTTGCTATGAAGATGCAATTTCATTGGCTTCTTTTTCTTTTGTTGCTTGTGCTTTTTGGATTATAGCTAACTAATTATTGTCCAGGACAATATCAAGAAACTTTCTTCCATTTTTCTTCTCGCAGTTTGACAGTTGTGAGTATACACATTTAGGTGTTTAATTCATTTGAGTAAACTTTTATGTAGCAAGAGAAAAGGGTCCAGTTTATATACAGGTACACATGCAGTTTGCTCTTTACTGTTTGTTGAAGACATTCTCTTTTCTGAATTTGTGATCTTGGCACCTTTGTCACACAGATCATGACTGCTTTTTAAGGAATAAATGCATACATTTATTGAAAATACTTGCCTTCCACATGTAATAATTAAACAAACAAATATTTTTTTTTCTCAAGTTTTATGTTTTTATAGGATTTAGCTTGTTCCAAAATAATGAAAAACAAACTTAGCACCTATCAGGCAGAGGAGGGAAGGTCCTTGAGGACCTTAGGAGACAGAGAAAAATATTGGGGCCACTTAGCAACTTAGTCACCATCTCAAAATAAAGTATTAGAAAGGACTGGGAATGCAGCTCAATTCTCAGTACCTTCCTGCCCCCACTAGAACTTGAGTTGACTCTCCTCCCTTTCTCTTCAGTTGAACACAGGCCTGAACCTCGCAGATGTTCAGGAGCTGGGTTACAAACAAAGCAGAGAGGAAGGGAAATAGGTCTGGACTGTTATCCTCTCCAAAGCTCATTTTCTCTTCTATAAAATTGAGGGCATTGCCCTCCCCATAGAGTTACTAGGAGAAACGCCTGAGGTGGACAAAGGAAACATGACACAAAACACACCGATTATTATTTTAAGAATGTTAAAATACATAGTGCTAGATAAAAACTACCCTTTGAAGAAGAGGTAAATTTCTCATCTTAGACTTTTCTCTCTTGGTCTTCAACGGCCTTCTGAATTAGGATATACTTTTTTCTTTAAACTCTCACATTACCCATGTTTAGGTAGAGGTTTAGGAAAGACACAGTTGTTCTGAGCCTTGACCAAGTGTGAAGAACAGAGAATGAACTAGATATTTAATTCATTTGAGTACCTGTACTCATGTATGCATGACTTTATCCGTGACTAAGTAAGAAGGTGGTTAATTCCTGGAAGCTCATTTGGCTGAAGAGGAAGAAGAAGGAATAGAGAGGGGAGATGAAAGGAAAAAATTCTTTGTGGACATCTTAGCGGTGGTGCCTGGCAAACAGAACAGCACAGATTCCAAAGCAGCAGACATTTACCCTCGTGAGATTTTGAATATTTCATGAAGTCAGACTGTATGTCTGAACCCAAATGCACTCTTTATTTTTCCCTTAAACTACCACCTTCACCAGTAAAAACTGTCTTAAGTGCCAAACTACTCTCATTTCTGTTCCATTTTAAACCACATACTCTCTCTTTCTTTACTCAAACAAGCCACTAGTCACCTGCTAGCCAACTCCGATATTTATTTGAATGTCTTAAGATCAATAACAACCTCTTTTAATGGTCTTACTCATCCAAGACCTCAAGGGTCCGTTCAACTTAAAAGGCCATCGGTCTGAACTGAGATACTATTGCCCTGATTTCTAAATAATTAATTGTACCCGTGATCATTTTCAACAGGAAGAATTCAGTTATGGGGACATCCAATTGCAGTGGACTGGGCAGAGCCAGAAGTAGAAGTTGATGAAGACACAATGTCTTCAGTGAAAATCTTATATGTAAGAAACCTTATGCTGTCTACCTCTGAAGAGATAATTGAAAAAGAATTCAACAATATTAAACCAGGTAAAACATAACGTGTTAAATTACTTCTTCAAAATATACTTTAGAAGAACTTAAACTTCAGGCGATTTCCAATAAATTTAAAGAGAAAGCATTTTATTTAGCTCAACCTTACAATCGAATGTAATCTACTCAAATTATATCTTGCTTTTGAGTTAGGAAATAAGGACATTTGTTTTCTCACCACTTAACAATGTTATTATTTTATATTTATCTCTGTGATTATTTAATAAATACATATTTCCTTAACTAGGCTATAGATGCCCTGAGTTCTTTTTTGTCAACTTCTCAGTCGTGAGTCAGTTTGAGGGCTTGAGATATAATAAATGCTCCACAGATACTTAGTGTTTTAACAAATGCACGGCTATACCCACAGGGTTTCTCAACCTCAGCACTAATGACATTTTGGAATACATGATTCTTAGTAGTGGGGATCTCCCCAGTCGATTGTAGGATATTCAGCAGCACCTTGGGCTCCTTCACAGCAGACCAGTAGGAAGTTCCAACCAGTAGTGATCCACGCACTGTAACAACCAAAGTATCTACAGACATTGCCAAGTGTACCCTAAGGGTAGGCAGAACTGGATCCAATGGGGAACCACTGAGCTCATGTAATACATTTGTCACTTCAAGTACATGAGTGGGGAGATATCAGTTCATTTGGATAATGAGAAAGGGGAAGGGATAGAGTTGCTGCTCATATCAAGATGTCTTAATATTAATTCTAAGTCATAAGATTGATTCTCCACTTCTTTCTTTTCAATGTGGGAGCTACAATACTGAGATAGGTGAAGTATTTTATGAAACAATATCCAAATGAGCATTTCCCAAAACCACTTCTGAACATCAGTTTTATGAACTCTTAATGTTATTGGAAAAAGGGTCATGTGATCAAGCAAGTTTAATGCCTTATTCTGCAGAAGGGAGCATTTCTTTATTACAAGACTTGGAGTCACTGCCCTCCTAGCATGGTTTGAACTCTCTGAGAGATGAAGAATGCCTCATATTCCAAAATTTGGATCATAGTTCCTCCTTTGTGGTTGACCACCCTGTGAAATTACTGTATTGGAATACACTGTGGGCAATGCCAGCCTATGGCTATCATAGTACTACCATCTTTCCATGACAGAATGCGTCAGATTCCAGGTAACCTCTGCAGGATGCTGACAAGCATGGACCATGGTGCTACACATTAAACCACCTGAGAATATTCACTTCACACACTCATGTTGTGTTTTCCCCACTCGGTATTATTTCAGGTATAACAGAATGACAAGCAAATCAGTCTCCCTGAAGACAGTAAGGATGTCACTTTCTCCAGATCTCCAAAGATCTGTCTTCTTTAACCTAAAGAACTCAAGCTTCCCTTCCATTTAGTACAATAGTTTGCTTCCACTTCAATAGCCCCCCTGCGGACTAGGCATGACACTGTGCATGTTCACAGCATGTCACTGATTCATCACAATGTCCCTATTACCTATTACTTATTAATTCTGTTATTTTCTAGATAATAAAACCAAAGCCCAGAATAGTTAAGTGGCTTTGCCAGAGTCTCACAGCCAGAAAGTACAGACACCAAGGAGAAGCTCTGTGGGCCCCACTCCCATCCTCATTCCACGCACTCATTCACACAACTGTTGCTCCTTCAGTAGCTCCTACGTGCCAGGCACTGTGGGCACTGCTGCCTGTGTGTGGAAGGAGTTGAAGACGATCCAAGAGAACATCAGGACAGCCCATTCCTGCCATGCAGAGGAGAAGTTCCATGTAAGCTGAGATCAGAAAATCGATGTAGTCACAAGAACAGATACATATGTGTGTTTGAATTACTGCTCTATTGTCATATCTTTATATCTTGTGTTGTTTTCTACCTTCCCAAGAGAAATGATATGTGTATATTATATAACTAAAAAGTACTTTTTATGGAAAAGGGTTAGAATAAGAAACTACTTAGAGCATGCTTCTTTTTTGTGGTTACTGATTATCCACTTTCCTGGTCTGTGTATTAGTATATGGAAGATAGATGTTTCTTCAGTACCAACTTTATTTAAACAATAAATACTAGCTCTCTCTCTCTCTCTCCCTCTCTCTCACTCTCTCCCCTTCTTTTCTCCCTCTTTCTGTTCTCCTCAGTCTCCCTTCCCATCAAGCCTGAAGTGTGCCCCAAAATTTTAGAATTCTGGAGCATATCCTGAGACTAATGCATCAACTTTCAGGGTTCTATACTAATGCATAGATTATTCTTTTTTGAATCCTGCAAATGAATATGAATTGCCAAGGCTGAGTGTTAAGCAAATATCTGCTCCGTGTAGACAGTAAAGTCACAGTTAACTAATTCCTTTTCCAGGGAACAATGTAGTGTATTTAGGCTATACTTATCTAGCAAAATCCATGAAGAGAAACAAGAAAATATTGTTTAAAGATTCTATTTAAAATTTGACTCCTATGGAGGAACCTGACTAATCCCTGCAAATATCTGACCATGTATCATTTTAACACTAATTAATCTGGAATATATTATATTGTCACTGAGAAACACAAATGACAATTGGAACTGAAACTGCAGCTAGAAAATAGCTGCTCGTTCTCAGAGCAACCCAAGGGTATCTACTGTAATTCTAATTGTAGCATAAAATCTGATCTCCCTCACACTTTATACCACCAGAATCACTAGAGGGGCTATTAAAACACAACTTGATCATCAACTTGGGCCCATGAAATTGCGTTTCTCTGAAGTTTCCAGATAAAGCTGGTGCTGCCAAGGGTTGTCTTTGAGTCCTTGATGTTTTCCCAATTCCTCAAAGTTCGGCGTTCTCTTCTTTTCTAATGAATGGACCACAAATAATGACATGGTTATTCTGTGGCCTCACCCTCTGCCAAGCGATGATCAATAAATCAACTCCTGTGCACTAGAAAGAAATACATTTAAAAAATAATAAACCTACAGTGAATACTACTGCAAAGAAAGCCAGCTTTTATGTTACAAACTCTAACATTCTGATTTTTCTGGTTTGTTTGTAATTTTTTTATTAGTTGGGTAATGTTTTGTTTCTTTTGCTGTTGTTTGGGATTGTTTAAGTTTTTATCTGGGAGAATTGATGTCTTTGTTCTGTTTCATTTTGTTGTTGTTGTTGTTGTTTGGTGGTTCTGAGGACTGAACCCAGGCAATACAGAGTTAAAGCACCAGCCTTCTGTTTTTATGTTTTTGAGACTGTCTCACTAAGTTGCCCAAACTAACCTGGAACTTGTCTTTCTTCTTCAGTCTCCTAAGTAGTGGCCTTAGAGATATATACCAACATGCCAATCTAATTTGTATGTTTTATATAGTTAAATTTTCATACATCAAGTTTTCCAAAAGAGGTACCTCTGGACACTGTCACCCAAAATGCAAAATGACTGTTGATATTTGCAAGCAGAATTTTTGAACATCTGAATCTATTATCATATCTGAATGCCAAGTAACTAATGTGGCTAATAGAAGCTGAAGTGTGCATTGACTGATAACGTTCCTTCATTTCGTGGGTATTTATTGAGTAGTCCCTATGTCCAAGGTGCTACCTGGGGGTTAGATGCAGATGACCCTAAGGTACTTCTGAAGCATACCCTTACTCTCAGAGATCTAACAGATGAGGCAGGGGAGCATCACAGAAGATGACCCTGGACAAGTAGAGGTCATCCTGGCTGACTTCTTCTCACTGCTAAGACAAGTCATGGAGCAGAGCACAATAATCATCCCCTCTTACATTGCAAGGAATAAAGGGACCATATCAAAACTTCAGTGAATTAAATGATGCATGCCTCATGAACTCAGATACCTTTAGTATAACCAGATAATGTTGCTCTGTATAATCATTGTCTTATGAAGTCAACAGTTTAATGCTAAGAAGGAAAAGAAGCATCATAATATTTTAAAATTATTCTCAGATTCCAAGTCTGCTGTATTCCAGAAAAAAAGATAATTCAGTCTTTGAACCATGTGGTAGAGTGAAAACTATAACTGTCTTTGTGACCATAAATTTGAAAAGGTAATTGAGCATTGATGGAAAAGGCAGAAAGAATACTTTCTCTCTTCTTACTTTGCAATATCATAATGTCTTATCTCACATTGTGTCTGGAGACCATGGGTAAAAGAAGAAAGCCTCTCAAAACACGTGCAAATTAGTGTAAACTAAAGAGGGTAATTGGCACACTGGTAACTAAACAAGTTTCCATCTTGCCTTCACTCTGAACAAAAGTTTTGTTTTTAGAATTGAATATGAAACAATACTTTAAAATGTAACATTAAAGCAAGTTAGTGCAATTATTATTTTTATATATTACCATCAATATGCACAACAGTTACTCTACTAACAATAGGCTAGTTTGGTTTGTGTTTTATTTTAAATAATAATGTAGATAAACTTAGCAAATATTTGTAAAATATCAAAGTATGCCAATTAAAATATTAAGGCCTCCTTTATTCATTCCAATTTTTCTTACCATTCCTGAAAGTAATCCCTATTACTAATGGTTTGGTCTCTATCTCTCTAGATCTCTCTTTCCATAGTTGTATTTCTATATATTTTTACATATACATTTTGATTGGTCTTTTTAAAACATAATTGTATAACCTCATTTTCTAACTTTAAAAATAAACAATAGGTCTTTGTTCTTTAATCTAAATAGATAAAGATCTACTCTGTTTTCTTTAAAGATACCGTGTATTAACATAAATGTAGGTCGGTTATTTAGCTCAGTGGCATAAGCGCCTGACTTGCAAGTGTGTAGTCATGAGTTTGATCCCCGGTACAATATATATATATATATATAAAATATACCAGACTTAAGTGCTTCTATGAAAATGGACATTAAATTGCTTTATTTTTACCATTCTAATAGTGGGCATAACATATCCTTATGCATAATAGTTGTGCATATGTAAGTATTTGTTTTGTATAAAACATTCCTCCAAGTAAAAATAGTAGATATTTACAATGTTTCCAACCTTTAGATATTACGATAGCATGGGAGAAACTTTTGGACCTCAGATATTCTTCCAGAAACAACTTAATATTTTATATAATTTTTTATTTGAATTTTATTGGATAGGACAGAGGAAATCTGGTTTTGGATCCTAGCTATGTGGACTATGAATTTCATTTACTTTTTCAGAATTATAGTTTCCTAATATTTAAGTAAAAATAAGTAAAGAAAAATTAAATTATTGCTAACCTCTATTTTAATTCTAAAATTATATAACATGAAACAGGTAAGATATACTTCTGGTGAGGACATTCAGAGGTAATCAGCTAAATATAAGCTTATGAAAAGACCAATTTATTTTTTACTTCTTTTATTGGTACATTTTAAACATACATAATGATCACATTCATTAGAGGGAGTTTGTACCCACACTTAATGTATCTTGACTCTTTTTTCCCTAATCCTCTCTTCCTCCTTCAGCCTCTCTTCTGCTCCTTATTTACAAAAGCTTTGTTTCCATTTTCCTCCGTCTATTCTCTTTTTCCCCTTCCTTCCTTTCTGCCTTCTCTATCGCTTCTTTCCCTTGAATATCTGGCCAACGCTGAGCTACCGAATTCAATAATAGTTTCCCAGGCATCAAGTATTATCCTTTACTTTACATAATATGCAAAAAGTAAGGTATTACTAAACTTAAAGCTCATGTACATGTATGAACTATGTGGTATATTCATCATGTGCCACAAATATACACAAATAAAATAAATAAAAATTGTTTAAAACTATGTAATTTATAAAGTATAAAACACAAATTTATAACTAATTATAACAAATCAGACTGCTATTTTAAAATTATAAGCAAAATCTTTCATGCAATATGTAGAATTTTAAATCCATACACATGAAAGTCTGGATAGGATCCTACTCACATTCATGGGAGGTAACTACATCATTTTCAGTGCTGTCTCAAGTTTGCTAACAGCTCTCACTCTGTTTACAGGTGCTGTGGAAAGAGTGAAAAAAATACGGGACTATGCCTTTGTGCATTTCAGTAATCGAGAAGATGCAGTTGAGGCTATGAAAGCATTAAACGGGAAGGTAATATAGAAAGAAGAAAAAATGTGTAGATTTTTTTCCAAGTGTGGACATCCTATTCAAAGGAGCTCTGCTATGAGTCGATCACACTCTAGCTTTCCCCATTTCTGACACGGCTACTGCAGTCACCTAAAATGATGGGAAACACAATGGAGAACGGAGATGAGCTACTATGTCCAACTCTACCTCTAATGTTTTTCAGATTTGGACAAGTCATTGGTTCCCCATTTTCTTAGAAGGAAGATTTAAAGTAGAATGTTTCAAGGGGATCTTCCTCAACTCCAATTTTCTCTTGTTTCTGTCCTGTGTAGTGCAGTACTTTAAAGAGTCTATGGTCAGAAAAAACGTCAAAATAGTTGTCATTGTCGTCAGAATTTGATCTTTCTCCTGTCGAAAGCTTGGGATCACTTTGCTTACAAGAAGAATGTCTGGAGTGTTCTAGAAAAACTGATATACTATGTACAGCAATCTAATAAACACTAAAAGCCTTACATAGACCACTTTTCTTCTCATAATGTGCAGGATCAAAAAAAAAGATGCTAAAAGTCTCCTGAATAAATAAGAACACAAACAAGTATGTAATGTACAGTCAGGTAATATCATAAAAAAGATATTTAAAAGTAGTAAGAAAAGTTCACAGGAAGAAGTAAAAAATTCTCAGTCTCACTCCCACGCCTTCTTTCCCAATCTCTTTCCACCTCTGTTTAGTAGCTCCCAAATGCTCATCAAATCAAATGATTTCTTCATTAATTTCCTTCCCCTCTGTGTTATTGTGCTAGGTAGTGAAAATTATATTCCTCCCATAATAAGCCTAAGGTTTCTTGTAATTATATAATTGTATAAATTTGTAACAAAACATATATCACATAATAGAGACTATTGGATAATCTTTTGCTTCCGTGACTGTATCTAGATTATAAATTCATACCCAATATATCAATGAACAATAGGTCACTGTCAGACCTATTGTGGTCATCTTGTGTACCTTGCCAACAAGAATTACTCAAAGAAAATCCATCTGGCAAACACACATGAACCTATACAAAGACAAGATAGGAATAATTGAAACATTCACTAAACATACAACAGATGGTCAAACACCCAAAAGAAGACCTGTTGTTAGGAGTCAACCCACACTTACCTGTTCTGATATCTTTTTTCTTTTTTACCACAACAGGTGTTGGATGGTTCCCCCATTGAAGTGACCCTGGCCAAACCAGTGGACAAGGACAGTTACGTTAGGTACACCCGAGGCACAGGTGGAAGAGGAACTATGCTGCCAGGAGAATATACGTACTCTTTGGGTCACATTTATGATCCCACCACAACCTACCTTGGAGCTCCTGTCTTCTATGCTCCCCAAGCCTATGCAGCGATTCCTAGTCTACATTTCCCAGCCACTAAAGGTCACCTGAGCAACAGGGCCATTATCAGAGCCCCTTCTGTCAGAGGTAATACCAGTCAGCTCTTGCCTTAGCACACCCCCACGATTTCAAATGATTTGTAGGACAATAGTCTTAGAAATATTGGATGGACTTAAGGACCAGGGGAAAAGGGACTAGAAAATCATTTATTAAAAACTGAATGTTATATCAATAGTTCTTATTCCATGGGAATCCTTTTTCACATTACAACTGGTTATAGAAAAAAACTTGGTCAGAATTTAAGTGTAATGGAACCCATTGAACAAATCTGATGTTTTTAGAGAAGTATAAAATTTGCCCAGACTAATATCTAGTTCCATAATTGTTAGCTATTTCTTTATTGTTAGAACACCATCTTACGATCACATGTGACTTGTTATGAAACTTCCAAAAGGGAAAGTAGTGTAATGTAATGGAAACAAATTATGTCAGATAACAAAAACATCTTCAGGCACACGTATACTTGAGGTGACTCAGTGACATCTTTACACATAAGTCACAAATTATTGTAAATACATTCTTAGAAATATATGAGATGCTATAATCTGACTGCACCAAAGAAATATGTGTTATATCTTTTAAACAGCCAAACTATTAAGCAAATTGATGCATTTCTTTAATATGTAGGAAACTAAACGTCTATAAGATCATAAGTATTTCATGTATAAAAATTCCAAATTTTCAAGCAGATTCTGAGTTCAGTTAGTTCAAGAAATATAGAAGACAAGGAAAATGTTTTGTTTTATTTTGTTTTGTTTTTATTTTCAAGAAACTAGTTTATCTCTGCCTATGGGATCTTTCAGTGTGATTGTTCCAAGATGTGGTTAATTCCCCAAGAATTCTAGTCCTCTTGTCCAAACATGATACCAACATAGGCAAATATCACATAATCACAAACACATAAATCAGATATTCAGGTCTATTCTTGGTTTGATATAGAAGCAAAGCATCACAGCCAGGTTAAGCTGAAAACAGTCATCTTACTGTGTTTTGCTATTTTGTTGGAAATCTGAATTGCCATTTTTAGGACCTCTATACTTTAACAGCCTTTAAAGTTCCAATTACTAAAATATAACATTACTGAAAAAATCTGTAATACAAAAATAATCATCAAGATTTCCTTCACAATAGCTTGTTTATATGACAAAAATTAGCATTGAAATATTAGGCATAAATAATCTAAAATATATCAGTAACCAGTCAGTAACCAGTAAAATATATCAGTAACCAGTAAATGAAATGATCAACCAGTTGTGATGTAGAAAAAGAAAAAGGAAAAACTTTAAGGGAAAAATATGTAACTTACAACAAGAAAAGAATCAATTGATAATGCTCATGGATGAAGGGCAATCAATTTAATTCTTTATCATTTTATACCATCAATAGGAAATCAAAATAGCAACTTGACAAACAAAAATCAAAAGGGATCTAAACATGAAACTCAATGAAAATTTAAGCCTCACTTTGACGGATCATAAAAACAAGTATAGTAAACTTAAAAACATGTTTTTTTTAAATGTTGGTTTCCCAACAAGCCATTGCGAGTAAGATAACGGATGATCTAGAATTAACTTTTAATTTACTTACAGTCTCTGTAAGGACCAATTGTACTACAAGTGGTCACATTATGTAGGGATGTGTTAATAAGAATATTCCCAACCTTGCTTTATCTTCAGAAAAATTTTAACAAAAGGTTACCGGAAAATAGAAATTTTAAAATTTTTCTCTGTTGCAAGGTTGTTAAATTACTTAAGAGCTTGAATAGTATTGCTTTCAAGTGGTTTATGAAAAAGAGAGAGATACATATAATGAGCCTTACTTTCTATTGAGTTTCATTACATTAGAATCCTAGGATTTTCAATCCCTCTTTAGGGTAGTAATCAATGTGACTTGGGCTAACTTTTCCATTACAGTAAGATTCAGGGTGATTTTCTGGTGGTTTGATTCAGTTTAATGCCTTCTTACATTCCTAGAAATTTACATGAATGTACCTGTAGGGGCTGCGGGGGTGAGAGGACTGGGCGGCCGTGGTTATTTGGCATACACAGGCCTGGGTCGTGGATACCAGGTCAAAGGAGACAAGAGAGAAGACAAACTCTATGACATTTTACCTGGGATGGAGCTCACTCCAATGAATCCTGTCACTTTAAAACCCCAAGGAATTAAACTTGCTCCACAGGTACGTAATGTCATCCAGATATAGTTTCTGAAAACTGGGAAAATGATCATAATTCACTTAATATTAAATGACTTGATTGATCCTAATTTGAGCTATTTTTTCTTGTCTTTTAATAGAATTAAGTGACCAATCAGCATAATATCCTTTAGGGGAATGATGGGTATTAAGTGCCTTTTTTTTTCCATTGCAGGATTCTTTTTTTAAAAAATCATAACGTTTAAAACTTTAATCTTACACTAAATCTTTCACTAAAATACAAAGAATCTAACAGTTACTATAAATCAGTAACCAATATCTCAAGAACTATGAGACAAAGACCTCAGATGAAAGTTCCAAAATCTACCATAATACATATTGCATCATGAAAATCAGCTCAGAATAGATGCCTACTATGTGCAAGGCAAGCTAATTGGCAAATAGATGGGATTTATGATAGGGAACCCTGAATAGACTATTTAGAACACTTTTCTTAGGAAAACGTGTTTAACAGAACATTCTACTGTGCTATCTAGGTGAATCATTAACTAGAAAGTGCCATCAGTCACATCTTTAAAGTGGTCATAATTTGGGCAGTGGCATTACAGTGAATTTTTATTGTTTGCATTTAACAGTTCTATGTTTCCATGTCTCTGCATGAAGCTATGTCTTTTATTACAGGAAAATTAAAAGTTATAAAGGTTGTCCCAGTATGAAAACTGAATACCACTATTAAAAATAAAACAAAGCATGATTCATGCTAACCCTTAGTGTATGATGAGCTCTCTGAGATACATTTTGGCTAACAGAGTTATAGTTTGTGTGCTCTATAAGAAATCTGCTTATCTCAGAGCAAACATGTAGGCAGGTCAAATTTATAGTACTTATAAGTGCAACTAAGAAGAAAATTTGGTTTTCTAAGAGCTCATCTTGGCTACTGATATGTTTGGGGGTGGGAGAAATTAATACCTTTCTTTTATACACAAATTAACTGAAGTTTCTGCTAATTCTAGGTAATTAAAAAACAGTGCTTATCAGAGTGGTAAATAGCACTCCTTAATTACAAGTGCATTTATTGGGCCTTGCTTATGCAGCATGTGTTTGTGCTAGGTTCTGGAACTTTAAGGGTGAATATAACAAAGTATTTTCCATCCGAAGCAATGCAGTGGGATAACACTAACACATTAATAGATAATTATAATGAAATCAGATCAGTGACATGATGGAACTTGCCGAGAAAATACAAAACTTACTCCCCTATTTCTCTTAAGACCTAAAATAAAAAACTTAGTTTTCCTAATACCTTTACTGGGATAACTAGAAATCCTCTAAGAAAAAAAATCTTTAAAACAGTAACCATTAATTCTGCGTATATCTGAGAGCTCTGCTTTTTACATTAAACTCAGTAGAAATTGATCATGTTTTGTATTAATCTGTGAGTAACCATCTGTGCCACCCAGTGAAAGTTCTTTAATTAATTTGTCTCTGCATTTGTACAACCATGGTCAATATATCAAAAACAATGCCACCCCCATCACCGTAGACGGAGAAACAGCCCTGTAGCAGCAACTAGAGTTTGCTCTGTGAGCAGATTTGCTCGCCTGGAATGAGCAGGCAGGCAAACTATTTACCAGCAATAGCTAACTTATTCCTGCTCAGGAACCTTGGCTTTGCAGTGGACAAGAAAGCAATCAGAATATTGAGAAAAAGAGTTAAAGAAAATAAGAATGATCTACAAATTAACAAACTGGAAAACGTCATGCAGCTGGATTAGTGTTAGAACAAATGAGGTGGGATACTCCAGAGACACACTCGGGGGCATTTTTCGCGCTCCCAGAGTTGTATTTTCAGACTTAGCCCTATTTTGCACAGTATATTAATTCTCCTGAGTAAAAGGAACATCAAATGTCTGGGCCAACAAAATTGGCTTCCTAATGAAGAAAATGTGAGCCTTTATGAAACATTCAATTTGGAGTCATTATGTAAAAAATTGTAAAATGATACTTAAAAAATAGATCATCATAAAAATAGCCAGAAGTGGTATGTTGCCAAACAAAAATATTGCAGCAATCAACATTCATCTATTAATGTTCATCCACAAATACCGAACCATAAAATTTTTCAGTGTCTTTGAAAATGTTTAAACCCTATGACAAGTGACTTGAAATGAAAATATATTCCTGCCTTGTCTCTTCTACACCATTATAAACAGAGGGCTTTGCTAATAATAAATAAATCTATGCAAACATTCTATATGACTGATTTTAATGGAATAAAAATATCAAACAAATCATGAAATGAAGCTCCTAGTAAAAAGTTACTGCTAATTGACTAAACTAAAAACATATTAGACTAAATGGTGTGAAAATGATTTTCTGAACTAATAGATATAACATTTTAAATGGAGTTCAAATTCAGTGCAACTTAAATTTTGAGTCACTAAACTATGTGGCATTTTATATCACTTCAAGTTAGTTTAAACTCTACAGATCAGCATTTGAACCTAAAAACTAGAAAAATAATGGAAATGTGACACTTTAGGAAGAAATTTTTTTTAACTCTTGTAGATATTAGAAGAAGTTTGTCAGAAAAATAACTGGGGACAGCCAGTGTACCAGCTACATTCTGCTATTGGACAAGACCAAAGACAATTATTCTTATACAAAATAACTATTCCTGCTCTGGCCAGCCAGAATCCTGCAATGTGAGTAACTTCTCCAAATTCCTAATCGTTCAGATTTTAAAATAATATTCACCTGTGAATTAAGTGTATTTCATCATTATCTAAACAATCAAAATATTCAGATTTCTTAGCTACTCGTTTGTCATTAAACACAATATTGAGGTGTGTAGGCGAGATGTATGTGTTACCAATGGGACAAACTTCTAAGCCCCCAAATTGCAGATAGACAATGAAGACTAGTATAATCAACCAATAGAAAACAGTAGGCAATATAAAATGTAATAGCTATGAGAAACTACAGCTAATCCTTTTTCTGCATAACATTTAGGTTGAGCTATGTGAAATTGTCATTTTTTATACATAAAATCATGTCCCTCATCTAAAATGTAGGGTCAAAGATATGACCTCTCTGTTAGTAGATATTACTTTATGACTTTTGCCTCAAGCCTAGATTAATATATGTCTTAGGAACCATTGCACTTCACACATACCTTTTGAAAGCCATGTGGTGGGCTTGAAGCATGGCCCAGGAATGTAATCAACCACGTATGTTCCCAATCAGTGATGATGATCCTATTAGAGAACAAGTGCCCAAACTATAACCCAAACCCCATTTATTCATCGCAGTCCCAGCACTGCAATTAAACCTCAATAGAAGGTCTTAGTTTAGAAAAATGGGTTCTTATCCAATGCTTGACTCCTGTGCCGACCCAGAGGACTCTGGGTGCCTGCTATGACATGTATGCCATAGGCTCATCATCACTGTTGGAGGATAATAAATGAACATTCTTTGTCCACATATATTTTGTTTAGAAGCCTTTAACAACATAAACAATGGATAATACTATACAAAATTCCACCATCTAGTAATCTCAGCAGTGTTTCAGATTTTCATTTAATTCAGTACACAAGTTTTAAAATGCTTAACCTGGCTGATTGTGCTTTCCAGCCACCCTTTTACACCTCCAAAACTGAGTGCCTATGTGGATGAAGCAAAGACATACGCAGCTGAATACACCCTGCAGACTCTGGGTATCCCCATAGATGGAGGGGATCCTGGGGCTGCGGCCACTGCTGCCACCTCAGCTATATTCCCAGGTATGGAAAATTTACGTTAGATGTTTGGGAAAATTTTCTTTGTTCCAAGTACTCATAGAACTGCTTGTGAACTATACTTACCTAAATCCACTTGCACCATCTGGGGGCCAAAATTTGCCACTTGAGTGGTCCATGCAAGCATTTGGCAGGAAATTGAGCAGGACAGCAGTAACTGGTTTCAGGGTCACCTCACCAAAAGCAGCTGCAAGATCTTCAATTAGTCGACTTCTCTGATTCTCGGCTGGTTTGGTTTTTACTATTAGTAAGAGACTATGGGGCTATCTATTAATAGGTGGCATTTATTTGAGCTCTAATAGTGAGTGAGGCAATTATCCAAATGTTTGACAAGATTTATCTTTTCTCAGAAATGCTCAGGACATCGCTAATAGATAAGATCATAAGCCCAGTATACAGATGAAGAAACCAAGTTCTGGAATGATTAAGTGATTTTACCAATGTCATCAGCTTTTGTGTAACCCTTGAATTCCCTGCCTGTTTCTAGTTTTCAATCTACTTTCATTAGTTTGCTTACTGACACAAATGTGACGAACATTTGAAAATTATTTTACGTGAAAACTTGTATTGTGCAAGTGACAGATTTATTTCAACATGCATATACTCTGGCCTCAATTTATCTGTTTGGCCTGGGGCTATGCTGATTGCTTAATGTAAATTCTATTTAAAAGATTTCCTCATTTATTATGCACCCACCACAAATTCTAATCATTGAAAAGATTCTCTAGAGATTAAGGAAGTTAGAGTGGTTCTATTCCATTTTGCAATAAAATCTTATTTCTTTTAAAGAAATTTGTCATTCTGGCTTGTCATTATGTCAGCATGCCCTCCATATGCCCAAATTAGAGTTTTCACTAGTCGTAGAATTATGGCATTCCTATTAATTTATATATCATGCCACATGTAGGTGTGTGAATTCCATATTCTTCACATGTATTCCTCACAACCAAAAATACCTGGGACTCATTCTCATTTTCTTTTATCTCTCCAAACTTATGAATATGCTGTTCCTTCTAGAAAATGAAGATAAAACCAGTCATGCTTCAAACACAAATGTGACCTCAGTTTTAGTTTGGTTTCTCTGTGAGAATATGGAGGTGCTCTGTGGTGAGTCCTTGTGTGATTACCAAGGAAACCACGGACCCTACAGAGAAGGAGACCCTTGCTGAATGCTGTGAGCATCAATCTCTGTGCACTGAAGGTGTTTCCACATCCATCAACTCCAGACTTATGCCAAAGCTACTCAGGTTGTGGAGAAAATTGAATTCCCTCCTTTCAGAAAGCTGCATCCTAAAGACATCTATTTAATGAACCATGCAAATAAATAAGACTCTGTTTAGAGATTTTAAACTTTAATATTCAAAAGGGTATGCTTTTACCCAAGATGTTTTAAAACTTTATCTTCCTTTCAATTTGTTCCTACAAAGAAGTTGAAAATAGTTAAGGCATGAGAGTTGCCTTAGGAATGAATGTTTAAGGATGTGAGAATCTCTCCTAACTTTCTGTAGACTCAAAGAACAATACAAACCAGCCAGGCATGTTGGCATACACCCGTAATCCTCACACTCAAAAGGCTGAGGCAGAAGGATTGCTGCAAGTTCAAGGCCAGCCTGGGCTATAAAGTGAGTTCAAGGATAGCCTGAACTCAGGGAAACCCTGTCTCAAAAAAGAAAAAAAAAGTACAAACTAAAGGAAGACTCTGAGTCTGTACTTGTACTTAAGAAGTTAACCAAACTGAAAAAGAACCCCCCAAAACTCTATAAAGATAAAATCTGTGCTACACACAGTCATACATTTATATTACTTATTTTAGAAACACTATTTCCAAAATCATTAAAGTAACTGTTACCACATTTCTCATATCCTTAGGAAATAAAACAAACTACTTGTATGTTAGTCAGCACTGTTGACCAAAGTGAATAACAAAAATGTGGATTTGGTTTTTAAAACACAGTCCAGCTAGCTTCCTGTTGCCACTTCCTGAGAAGCCACCAGAAAATAAATCAGTGTTCTGGGGTCAGGTACTCTTCAACCACCAACCGACAATGGGATATTTTTAAAGAAATCAGATCTTCTCCTCTCTCTTTTACATATTATCTCTCACGATCTTTTTTTTTTTTTTTTCATCTCAGAAATAGCTAAGTTTTGATCTAAAACATAAGAAGGATACATCATTTTTGGTAGTAACTATTATGGTTTCTTCTTCACAAGTGAATGACCAGCAGCTAGACATAATACTAAGATTGAAAGCACATGGATGATTTCATTACTCTTAAAACATTTTGGTTCTCTGACAGCCAAGACCGGCATCAAAGCTTCTGAATATATATTATAGGTAGGCTTGATGACTGGGGAAAAGGAACTTTTGACACTTATGATTAATCTAAATCTGAACAGGGAAGACATTTGTTTTTATGGTCTCTGTATATCTTCTTGGGTGAAGGCAATGCTTAATTTAGGCAGGTGAGGGGTTTTAGCAGAACCAAACCCACAGCCCCTCCATTGCCATGTCCTGCTAAAACTTCACTGGCCTTCTCTCTTTTATAAATTCTGAGACTTTCTAGAAATTCTCTCAATTCAGCATCCAATTACATTTCTGTTTCTTGAAACTTGTCTCTAATCTTCTAAGTGTGACATGATTCTGACATGAATTACACAGGTGGTTGGTTCACTTTCTGGATCAGTGTCCTAAGACTTTTCAGGTGCCATTTAAAAACCACTGAGTCCACTTCTTGTGTTCCCTAAGACAATGCATGTTAGTACTTCATATTTATTAATTAATATTAGTAATGAATATATTAGCTTAAAGTAATATATTAAAGTTCCATTTCCCTAAAAGAAGTCAATATGCCAAAAGGAAGCAAATTGAATTCCTTTCATGAAGTTTTCTCTGCCTCCTCCTCCAGGATATGCTGTTCCCAGTGCAACTGCACCTGTCTCAGCAGCTCAGCTCAAGCAAGCAGTGACCCTTGGACAAGATTTGGCAGCGTACGCAGCCTATGAGGTCTACCCCACTTTTGCAGTGACTGCCCGAGGGGATGGATATGGACCATTCTGAAGATGCCTCTCTTTTAATTTAGGGATAAGATACACAAAACTCTATTATAGAAGAAATAAACCTCTCAGTCCCCTAATGACACAAACTATATCTTCTCTAAAGCAGTGCCTTTCCTGAGACTATATAGCTTACACCATGTAGAGTCATGAAATGTGAGTGTTATTTCTCAGTGAAATCAAATGTTAAAGGATTCTTTCATTTAACAGAAAGCTGAAGAGCCATTGGCCCCAAAACTTGTTCTTCCAAGATTCCTGAGTGTCCTGAGAGTATGTTTACAGTCCCTGACAGCAGGGAGAGAGCTCTCAGCAGGCAATAGCTGGAGCTCTGCAAACGTGGGCCAGAGCCAGTTAAACTCCAGAGTCTCAGCCTTTGCTCATGGCTGTTATGTGGTACACAAAGCCCAGAAGAGGCAAAAGCAAAGTGGGAAGATGCTTTGCAAAATCCTTCACTGTGTGAGGTATTTTCTCATGCTTACTCATGACAACTGTTCAAGATTATATGGATTCAAGGTCACTTCAGCCTAAAAATTTCACCAAATTTGTTATAGGTCAGGGTCTTCCTAGCCAACCCACTCCCTGAAGTTTCCTAGGAATTGATATCTATTGCAGATACGACTGAAACAATTCCAGAATCCTTGTTTATCCAACTGAGTCACCCATATCTATTTTTACCCAGAACTCCTATGTGCCCTACAATACCCACAACACAAAAACAATGCCAATATGAAATAACTTTTTGTCATTTTCAAGATTTTGAATTGTCCATACTAATTTCCTTTCATCTCAGATTCATTTTGTTTGTCTCTAATGTCATAAAGTAAATCAGACCTACAGAATAACATATATGGGTACTTTTTCCTATTCAGCAATTTGGCTGAAAATTCATTTCAAAGATGCAAGTGAAGTTGGGTTTTCATTTCTTGTTTTGTTTTGTTTTTCCTGACATGCTGAAACATAAACCAGGGTCTTCACATACTACATAGGCACCCTACCACTGAATTGTATCTATAAGCCTGTATTCATTACTTTGATTTCTTTGTAGTACCCAGATTACCATCTAGCATTCAAAGGTAGTTATACTAACTTGAGGTTGGTCTTGAACAGTCTCACCCATTTATATAATTAAATTTGCCAAGAAGTCCTTTACCTTGCCTTACTTTAATTTTTAATAGGTATAGGCAGCTTTATTATACCTAACAAATTTGTCTGGAAAACATCACAGGAATATCTTGCATCCATCACTTGTGATTAAAAACCATTCCTCTATGTAAGGTGTTGTTTGCCAAAGTCCTCTAAAGTTTAGGAACTCTTCCCCAAGAAAAGAGATAGAACAGAGAAAAATGCCACAGTTTAAGAATGGGGTTAGAAGGGGCTGGGGATTTAGCTCAGCGTCTTAAGCACCTGCCTTGCAAGCAGGCAGTTGTGAGTTCGATCCCTGATACCGATAAAAAGGAAAAAGACAAAAAAAAAAAAAAAAAGAATGGGTTTAAAAAGGAGGGACTACTTTCCTGCCATGCTTAAAAGCAATCGCTTTGTTCAAGATAAAAGAAACCAAAGTTCAATACCAACATCCATTGCTACCATTCCAGACCCAGTGGTTTCAGACATAAAACACCATAATTTCAATTTTTTAAAATCCTGGCTTTTGTGAAATTCTACAGAATTCAAGAGAAAATATAAACATACAAACAGCAGAAAATTTTGTCACCTCCTTAATAGAATTCTGTGATCCAAAATCAAGCCAGATTACAGTCAAAGTCAGGTAAACTTCAATCACAGTGAGAAGTCCGTGTTTCATTTCTCTTAAATCCAATCCGACATACCACCTTCAAAGTTGAAATTCTAAAAGACTCTGTGCTTTCTGGTTCACATTTACCTCTTCATCGTCCCAAAGTCCAGAGTTTCCAAACTTGGCTGCCTATTTGAAACACCCAGAGAGCTTATGAATACACTAATGCCAAGATTACAGAGTACCAGTTACGTCAGATTCTAGAATGGGAGCTTGTCACTAGCATTTTTATGAAATTCTTCAGTGATTTCAGTGTGCATCTATGTCTGGGAACTTCTTTAATTTTCCTCTCTATCTTCCTTACATTTTCTTTCAATTTTACTTTCATTAAATAGACAACTGCAAGAAAAACACACCTAAGTTAAAACAAACAACTTATAACCTATCATGAGCCAGATCATTCACCTACTAAATATTGTGAATGTGAATATAATTTATTTTGATTTCAAACTCCTAAGTCCAATTCTAAAAATCAGAGAATAAAGTCCTTCTAAACCAATTCTTATATTCAAATTTATACCACCCAGAGACAGAGTTTTATTCTCAAAGAGAATAATTACATTGCCACTGAAAGTGGCCTTTGGGGAAGGCAAAGTTCTACTTAATCTAAAGAACGTTTCAAATTCCAAGAATGGAAGGTTTATTGGCCCCTTTCTATTTTTGTTTTCTGAGGCAGGGTCTTATTACACAGCCCTGGCTGGGCTCAGACTTACTATGTACCCCAGGCTGGTCTTAAAGTGGAGCTCTTCCTGCCTCAGTCTCAAGAGTGTAGGGATTAGAGATGTACATCATGACACCCAATAAGAGCAGAGGTTTTGATTTCCCTTAGAGTTTTTAAAACAAATAACAAAGGGTAGTATTCATGTTTAGTCAGTATGAAACAGAAGGACTAATCCAGAGAATTTTTAAATTTTTCAAAATAAAATAGATTAGTCAATCCAGAAATAGCATGAGAAAAAGTATTCTGGCTAAGATCATCATTATTTTTTTTAAAAATTAAGAGTTGAGATCTGAATATAAAAATGCTAAAAATATCAAGATAATTACCCCTAGATAAACAAAAGAAAGAAACAAAGGAAGGAAGGAAGGAAGGAAGGAAGGAAGGAAGGAAGAAAATCATCTTCAGAACTCCATATCATTACTTTAGGGAAAACATAATTCATGACATTGACCTCCTTAGGATTGATTTTTGTACAAATGAGTAGATGTGGCTTTGTTTTTTGCTGACATTTTACTTAGTTTTTGGTGATATCTAGAGATTTTAGATTCTATTGGAATATATTAATGAAAAGTACCAATGTGTCTACTATGTAAATGTGTTTGTTTACTTTCCCTAAGTATAGAAATATAGACCAAGTCCTGCTATCATGTGTTTGAAGTTATGAAACTTTTAAAAATGAAGTACAGAAGCAAAAATTAATTTTGCAAAATGTTTATATTTTTAGAATTAAGAAATTAGTACCTATTCAATACCTTCATACTTTCTTCTCTTTTCTTACTTGACTACTTTGTATTTCTTCATTTAAAAAATTAATTGGGCAACCAAGTGAAAACAACAAAATACCCAAACCAGTAATTTAGAAACAGCTATTAAAACAGAATTAGGTTAGTAAGTTTTGGCTGTTAGCAGTTTATTGATGACTAAAAATAGCCCAGTGCTATTTAAACAGGAGCAGATGAAACAGCAGTGACATTTTGTGTTTCTTTCTTGCCTATAAAAGTTGCTGGTTCTTTTCAAATCACTGTACTTCTGTCTTACCTCCTTAATATATCAAAGAGACCAACAAAAATAAAACTCCACTGTAACAAATTAAATTCTCCTAGGTGCCAAACCTCACTGTATTTGGTTAACAGCATCTAAAATGCTACTAGAAAACTACTTCATATTTAGAAAATATCTCCCAAAAGAAGAGATATTTCCAAATCATGGTCCCTAAATTTTTAAAGGTTAGATAAAAATCAAACTATAGAAATGTATTGAGAATAGCTATGTACAATACTAGGCTTTGTTTCACATAAATTTTTTTAAAATTCTACCAATTACACAAATTAGCAAAATACCCTATAAATATAATTTTGAACTTACATTAATCTTCAGTATATTTTATGACTCTACAATTATGTCTCAGACAACTGGGTCAGGATTACAATCCACATAGACAGGAAGACTGTTCAGGGTACCGTTTGTAGAATAAAAGCCAAAAAAATTTAATATCTGGGGTAAATTTTCTTTGTATTTAAAGTTATAAAGTTTGACAAAATTTACTGTGATTGAGCAGCAGTAGCCCTATAAGATTTCTTAAAGATAATTTATTCACAAGAAGTAAATAATGTATCAGTATTCATATAAGGTCAGATCATTTATACTCTCCTAGAATTCATATACAAGTACTTAAGGTAGGTGAAAACATATCTACAATGTAGGGACTTGGCATTTTTATATTTTATAAACACTCTTTTACTTACTGTAAACACAACTGTTAAAGATAAAATGAAGTTTAAGTTATAACAGAATAAAAACCTTGTTGTAAAGGCTTTAAAAATATTAATATTATAACAAAAATTTTATAGTGGAGACAGAAACTAGGCATTAAATATTCCTACCTGACATACATTCATTATCAGCTGAGTTATGGTAAACTAATTCTTAAATCTGATGTTAAAATTTTACTTCATTTTAGTAACATCTTGAAAATGAACTGAGTTTTACTAGCTCATAGTCATAGCAAGTATCATGTATCCAGCAGGCTGTGTGTTTGCATTTGAGAACAGCATGAGAACAAAGCAACGCAAATCATGATCAAGGAGAGAAAAATTAGAAAAATAAAAATCCTTTCTCAGCCCCAGGCCCTATAGGTTTACTCAAGGAGTAAATCCTTAATTTTTATTATATGAAAAATATGTACAGAATATTCTATTGCCCCCAAATGGCCAATGTGTTAAAAACTAGTCCTTTTTTCTTTCCGTGGTATACCAAAATTAAGAAGCACAGGTCTAGGATAGAGAGCAACGTGTATGCTGAACATAAACTCGTTTGGGGAAATTGCAAACTTTATGCAAACAGTTCTCATTTTATAGGGAAGAGTTTTCTAAGACCTTATGTCCCACTTGAAAATGAAAAGAAATTAATAACCAGTCTAGATTGTAAAAAAGGAAAAAATTGGCCTCTCTTCATGTATGCTACTAGATCTAATGAAAGGAAAGAGACCAAAAAACAGTAGTTGAAAAAAACTAATCTGCACACAAGAACTTTTTTGTTCTTGACTAAAAAATGTCAGCCCCACCAAGGGTTTAGCAACAGCTTTCTGAGTTGACAGTACATTCTGCTTTGCCAATGCAGTCCTGGATTATGGCTATTGTCCTGCTATAGATATTAACAATGCCCCTCGCGCTCCCCAATGCCTCAAAGGTTAGACAACATATTTTAGAGTGACCTCTCTCGTTTTTATTTTTGTTTACTTTTGTTTAGGGTTATAGAATTGCAGCATTCTTTTCTTCAGAACCAACACATGTTTAAGGGTCGTAGTGAACGGAAAGGAATGCATTGTCTTCCCCACCAAGTCACCCTCAATCAATTCCTGAGCTTTCTCCAGTCTGTTTCTGGTCCTAATTTTCTTCTCATTCACTCTGGACTGGAAGGCCTGAGTTCCACCTTCATGTGGCAAATCTTATAGCCGTTAGGCCAGTTTAAGCGAGGGATGGAAAGCAGGATGGCTCCTGGGGACATCTACATGACCTATGCAGATCAAGCCTTAGTAGATGTTAGCATTAGCTGGTTCCACCTTTCCTTGAACCAAGCTACTTACACCCAAAATCTGAAAGAGCTTCCTATGTCAATTCCTACTTTAAAAAACATTTTCTTTTTCATTTGTTTCACTCTTGTGCGCAGCAATAATTTCCTTGTGTTTAATTTCAGTTAATGTTGCTCACGAACTGTTCTTCACAAAAACTCTTCATATCGTCTTATTCACAGCATTCATGATTTTTAATGGGAAAAATTTGAGGGGAGATTTTTACTCTTCCTTTATTTGCTTTCCCAATATTGAGAATTAAGCAAAACTTAAAAGCTCTGTTGTTATTAACCCATCAACCTATTTTTTATATAATGTGTGATCAGTCTGAGTTTACTATATATCTCCTCTTACGCTAGAAACCGTGAAAACAAATATATTTCTTACTTCTGTCTTCAGTGAGCACAGTTCAGCGATCCATTCTCAATTTTTCAAAGCTGAACATAATTGCTTCAGCTAGCAGTTTTGCCGCTTGGTCGCAGTTCCAAAATAAATCAAACATTACATTTCTTCTATTGGCTGAGGATTTAGTTCAGCAGCGTAAGTGCCTACCTGGCAAGCGTGAGGTCATGAGTTCAATCCCCGGTACCAAAAAAAAAAAAAAAAGAATAAATAAAATAAGTTTCCTCCATACTGCCAATGAGTTGGTACAGTCCTTTTTAAAGATAAATTTAATACATGTTCCATTATTACTACTTAAGTAAAACAAATTTTCAAGTATTTTCCCCCAGAGATATATAGAAACAGAAAACAAAGGTTTAGAAAGTCAGAAAAAGGTTTACAATATGGAACTGACAAATTCACATATTGATTCATGATGTAATGAGTTAGAACCATGCTTCCTATTTACTTGAAGAGAAGTTGGCCATTAGTTATACTGTTTGCTAAATATGCTTTTGTTTATAAAATTTGAAAATCTGTTTAACAAGTGTTAACTGTGTTTGTACATTTTGATTTACCTTGGAGTAAACATACATTTTTTTAACAAATGTATAATTTCACTTTGAAATATGTTGTTTTCTGTTATAACTTGTAAAAGGTCTCTGAGCTCCCAAATTGTAGGTGTATCACTTATATCAATCATAATTATTGTTGGTTTAAATATTCAATGTAATTATTGGTATTTCTATTTCTATTTCTTCATAGAACTCTCTTTTGTTTTCTATTTTTTTAACTATAAAATAGCCAGATATTGTTATCCCTTATCTCATAATGAAAGCTGTCAGTGAAATTCATTTCCAATTTCCAGGTGTTAACAACCTCTTGTTGTTTTTCCACTTGTTATTTTTATTTATGTGATATTTGCTAAGGTACTAAAAGAAAGGAAGAAAAACAGTATTAAATAGTGCACACGAAGCACTTATTTTTGTACTTTAAGTACAGTATTTTATAAAACACTAACTGTAGCTATTTTAAGTAAAATTATACCGTCCATTTATTGGGAAAATACTAGTTTGAATTATAAATATGTTGGGCACCTCAGAATCATAAATCACATGAAATAAGAAACAATGCAATCTTGTGTAATTCCAGGATGGGGAAATGATTTTAATAGAATTTTCTAGTACCATTAAACAGTTTTTAAAATTATTGATATGAGTTACTGTTTACTTTTTTCTTTTTGGTACCAGGGATCAAACTCACGACTTTGTGCTTGTCAGGCAAGCGCTTACACCGCTGAGCTACATCCCCAGCCCTCTGTTTGCTTTTTTCTTTCCTCAAAAGTAAAGTTTTACAGCACCTACCTAGCAAATGTGAGGTCCTGAGTTCAATTCCTGGTACTCCCCCACCCAAAAAGAGAAAAACTGAAGTTTGATTTTTGAGTAAATACTTGAATATTGATAATTTGTCATTGCAATGTGGTTTTGATGACTTCTTTGCATTCTCGGTTGTATGTACGTTTCCTGTGGTACACCTTCTGAGAGTAAATGTAACTTTCATTGATTAAGTACATTATTTCCCAATCAATAAAGAAAATAAGAGAAATCCTGAGAAACCAGTAATACACAGAAAACAGGAAGAGAAGTGTGCCTTGTTAACATTTGCCTGAAGCCAACTGCTGAGCCCTCACCAACAGGAACAGGAAGATGCAAACTGTTGCTTCAGGACCATTCTTGTTGCTTGTTGGGCCTTGAGTTAAAAATGCAAATTGTGTTTGTAGAGAGTTTAGCTAAGAATGTTTTTTAAATTTTAAAAAGGTTTCTTTAAAAAAAAAAAGAAAGAAAAATTTACGACTGCATGACCATATATAACATGCAAAGACTGACATGTTTACTGTATGGCTCCATACAGCAGAAGTTTGCCAGCCTCAGGTGAACCCAACATCACTTACTTGGTTTCTGTTAGATATAGCACCCTGCTTCTAGGTACCAAATTCTGAACTATCTGGGATTAGATTTGGCTGGCAATGACAGTATTCCCAAATAGAAGTAGTTTTAATATGATAGCAATTTATTGTTCCAAAAGACAGTTCAGTGCTGTTATCCAGCTTTGTTGTGTCTTGTTCCTTAATTTGCATGGTTTCAACTCAGGGTCTAAGATTTACACACCAAGTAGAAGGACAGAGGAAAGATAAAGAAGAGGAGAAGACATCTGCTAACTTTGCCTTCAACAGTTACTGAAGACACCACACAACACGATGGCTTACATCACATTGACCTATGACCACACCTAACTAAAAGAAAGAATGTGAGCTGTAGTCTTTATGAAATAACCACAAAAAAACTATTTCACCAAGGAAGACCAATCAAGGAAAACTAACAGAGTCTGCCACCAATATACCACAGAAAAGACATAAAAATTATATTATTATACTAAGTAAAGCACCTGAGATTATTGCTCCCAACTTGGTACATGGTAGATGCTTATGAATCTTGACTCCTTTTCAGTTTGCCTTCACCAACTAAAAGGAAATTGCAACTTATGTGAGATCCTCTTAAAATACTGAAAGCTAGTGAAAATGTACTGTAGTAAAGAGGACTCCAGTGACCTTGTCTCCTGGTATTCATACCACTGTATAATCCCCTCCTTGAGTGCAGACTGGACCTTAGTAGCTTCATTTTAATGAGCAGAATATGGCAAAAGTGATAGAATATCACTCTTATCCTTGACTAACAAAAGGTGATGATTTGCATATTGGTAGCTCTTTTTGCTTAGTGAGTGACGAGGAAGCAAGCTGTGTGGAATCATCCAAGCTTTGAAAAACCCCATGACAAAGAACTAAAAGTATCTTGCAGACAAGAGCCCAGGGAATTGGCTTCTGCCAATAACCAAGTGACTGAGTTAGAAAATAGAACCCCCTTCCATCTGAGTCTTGAAAGGAGCAACTCAAAGCTGAGTTTGCAAACAACCTAATCATGTTTTCTGATGTCATTATGGGGAAATATATGTCCTGTGCTTATAAGGATGAATGCTAAGGATGTTGTGTATGCCTAAAAGAAAGCAGGAACTCAAAACAGCTAGTTGAGTGGAAAGAAGAAATGGAGGGATACTTGTGAGGAGGGGATAAAAAATAAAGGAAAAAGGAGGAAGGCAAGGAGGGAAGAAAGAATATGAAAAGAGAAGAAAGGAAAGAAATGAAGAATGGAAAGGAGAAGACATGAGAAAGGAGAATCTGGACTCATGAAAATGGGGATAACACTGTTCTGAGTAGTAAATGGGGAGGTAATAATACCTTTTACTCCCATATCTCAAACCATTAAAGTTACCATTTGGTGAACAAAAGAAACCACTTTAGATTCAAAAGAGTTTCACTAAGGACAAAACAATCCTCAAATCTGAAAAATTAGGACATTCAGTATAATTTCGAGGAAAAGAATAGACTCCAAGCCAAGAGGCCAGGGTTTCCACTCCAGCTTGCTATTCCCTCTTTCTTCTGAATACTTCGCCAGGATTCTCAGATGCGTTGAAACAACGTGTGCTAGCAATGGTGGACAGGCCAACATTTTCTCAGCAGCATGAAGTCAATATGCTATTACCTCAATGCCTACTTCCTTGCCCCTTGCCAGATTTTCCATTCCATTTGTGTGCTCCCAACAAGAAGCAATATGATAAAACATGCCAGAGAAAGCAAGTATCTGGCACACGGGGAGCCAATTGTCCCTCACTGGACAATTTCTAGTGACACCATCGGTCTTTTGCTGGGCATCGTATACCTTCAGAACGTTTTTTAACCAAAAGATCTAGGTAGTTGCTATGAATTGGTTGGTGTCATGTGCTGAGGCAGGACTTTGGGAAAATCTTTGGATGGTGGGAGTGCTATATTTATTAGTGGATTAATCTACCAGTGCGGTGAGAGGCTGAGTGTGCTGTTGACAAGTGGGGCACAGCAGGAAGAGGAAGGTCACTGGGGGTGTGACCCGAAAGGGTGTGCTTCCTGTTGGGCTCCTCCCTTCTCTCTCTGTTTCCTGACTGCCATGACCTTAGCAGCATCCGTCCAGCCAAGCCTCTCCATCATGCCGTTCCTCCCTTGAAGCCAGCCAACCAAGCAAGAACTGAAACTTCCAGAACTGTGAGCCAAAATAAACCTCTCCTCCTTTGTTGAATATGGTGTCTCGGTGACAAAAAAGTAACTAAGACAAGCACAATAAATTTCTGCTTTCTTCATTATTACACATCCACAATGCTAAAGTTATAATTAACAAAACCACTTAGAGACAGTTTATTTTACAAAGTAAAACCTATCTAGAGTCAACAATCAAGGTGTTGGGACTGGGGATTTAGCTCAGTGGCATAAGTGCCTGCCCGGCAGGCACGAGGTCATGAGTTCAATCCCCCGTACCACAAAAAACAAAACAAAACAAACAAACAAAAAAAAACAATCAAGGTGTTGATCCATTGAATTAACTATGGATTGCCTACCTTGTGTGGGAATATAAATGCCTTCTATACTAACGTACTTCTCACTTTATTTCCCTTCCTCTCTCAGCAACTTGACCTGCCTGTCATTGCTTCACTAATGATATCTGACCAAAAGAGCAAAGAAAGATTTCTCGCAAGCCTTTCTGGCTAAACTTTTCAAAAAGCTTTATCAGTTCAAAGAATTTATGGGACTTTTGGAGGATGGCAGAGTATAATTCATGACAGAGACAAAGTATCATGGAGAAGCAAGGGAAAGAATAGGTCTGTCTCCGAATAGAATGGGAATGGGGCCACTGTTTGAATCTAAAATGCCCCCCAAATTCTATATGTTAAAAGCTTGATTGCCATTTGATGAGCTTTCTGGAAATGATTGGCTCATGATGATTAACTTTATCAGGGGATTAATACACAGATGGATTCAAAATTTCCTGGCATTATTGGAAGGTGGTTTAAATTTAGGACATAAAGTGTCTTTAGTCATATGGGTAGACTCTAAGGACTGTATCTCGCCACTGGCATCTTCCTCTCTGAATCTGTCTCTCCGTCTCTCTGTCTTTCCCCTCCACCCTTTCCCTGGCTGCCATGAGGTGAGCAGGTTTCCTGTGCCACGCACCTCTGCACTGATGTTTCTACCTCCCCACGGGCCTAAAATCAACATCAGCTGACCACGGACAGAAGCCTAGGAAACCAGGAGCCAAAATCAATCTTTTTTCTTTTAGTTGACTTTCTAAGATCTTTTGTCATAGCGCCAGAAAACTAACACAGGGAAAGAAGTAAGAGTCTAAAGCAGAAAACATATTGAGAATTTGGGTTCTGCTTCCAAGCAGCAGCAACCAGAAAGTAAAAAGATCTCAAAAACCAGCCACACATTCAAGCAGCCTTGCATGTATGACCGTGCCCCAGACATGACAGTGACTTCTCAACAGGACAGTGAAGGGGATGACAGGGACAGAGATACTGTCTTTCTCAGAATCTGTCTCCATGGTTAAATAAAGATGACCAGACTCTCCTCCACTTATGCCGCTGTCCCTTGGCTCTATGTAGAATACCAAAGTTTGTGGCCCAATCTCAGGACCAAAAGTGTGGAACTTGGAAATACTTTTCATCTATCCTAGAAACAGAGAATCAGTCAAAAATAAATTGGAGTTATGCGGAGCAAGTATTTTTTTTTCCTTTCATTATGTGTTTGTGACCTGAGATCTATACTTTAACACTCATGGCCTACCTTGGTAGGCCCCCAGCCAGCCTTTCCAGTGTTATGCAGCATAAACACAAGCTTTGGAGTCAGGCAGAACCAAGTTTGCTTTGCTGATTACCAACTAATTATTTGATCATGGAAAAATTGCTAAAAGTCTCTGACCCTTTTCTTTTATCTTTTAAAGAAAAATTATAATATGCCCCGATAGGATTACTGTGAGGACTGATGCAGATTATATACACTGAAGTATTCATCATAGTGCCTGACATGGTACATTTCCAAATAAATAAATAAATAAATAAATGACATTACTATTGCAAAAAATCTACCAATATACCTAGAGGCATTCTGATAGAAATTTTAGGTTCTTTTCTTTAAGAAACAAGCAAAACTCATGTTCACAGTCTTCCAGCATTGCTTGATCTAAAGTAAAATAAAAACAACTTTTCTTTCCCACTGATTATGACAGAAAATGCTGGCAGGCAGTTCGGGGTGGAAAGTCAAGGCATGAAGGTTGATCCATAAAGGTAAT